TCCTTCCAGGTTGAGAAGGACCCATCCACTACCACCCTCTGGGTGCGGCCCTCCAGCCAGTTGGCGACCCATTTAACTGTGTGGGTGTCTATGCCACAGCCCCCCAGTTTCTTAATGAGAAAGGGGTGAGAGACAGTGTCAAAAGCCTTCCGGAAGTCCAGGAAGACTGTGTCCACTGCTACCCCTGCATCTAATGATCTGGTGATCTGATTGTAAAAGGCCACCAGGTTGGTCTGACAGGACCTGCTACTGATGAACCCGTGTTGGTTGCCCCTAAGCATGCAGTCCCCTCCTGGCCCCTCCTGGATGTGTGCCAGCATAATTTTCTCAAACAACTTGCCTAGGATCGAGGTAAGACTAACTGGCCTATAGTTTCCCGGGTCCTCCTTCCTCCCTTTTTTGAAGATGGGAACCACGTTGGCCCTCTTCCAGTCCTCTGGTACCTTTCCAGAGCACCACGAGCTGAATTTTCTTCATTTTTTGTACCAGAAAAATGATCTCATTTTGATTAAGAAAGCTAGAGTTCCAAAGTGAAAAAGGCACCAAACAAAAAAGTATTTCTGATACCTTGAAATATTCCTTTCTAAGTTGTTTGCTCTTCCTCCTCTCTTCAGTTTGCCAAATAACTGGTTGAGTTTCTGGCCAGTGCTGCTCATCTGTCTCATCCTTCTGATTTTCTAGAGGCTGTTTTGTTTTTTTTTTAAATAAAAAAAATACATGGTAGGCAAGTATTAGAACTGGAATGAATTGTTATGAGTTAAAATTATGTGATGATAATAAAGCTGAACAGAAAAGCATGCTTTATTGAAAGCAGTAGTCTTTCCTGGGCTAGCCTGGTAGAATTACTTCATCACATCTCAAATACAGGTAACCTTTCTGGACAGCATTTCTTGTGTTTCAAAATTCTACAATAAATTCTACATGAGGAATCAGAAAAACATAACAAGTTTATCTTTTTAAAAAGTTCATATCTTTCCTGGTCATTCAGGCTGCACCCAGCTTTCACAAATGAGCCATGTGCCATTGCCTACAATTACTACTGTGAGCCTTAGTATGAGGCACGACTAGCCTTTCATGTGCTTTTGGTGGCAGTTCCCACATGGATAAATTGGGATGTGCATAAATTTTACATATCAGGTCAACTGCCCACAACTATTCTTTAAAAGCACTCTCTTGTAATCCTTAGTGGCAAGATGTGTTCATTAGATACTGCTAGAAAACTTCTATCTTTGCAACATACAAATTAATATGAGGAAACAAAGGAAATGATCAAAGTTTTGGTCATAAGAGATCAGTGAATGCAAGTAATTAAGAAGCACTGTCCTATTCTAGTAAGGGATGACTACACAGGTGTGTTACTGTAAACTAAGCTGGGGTGAGCCTGCGGCACGTCAACTACCCCAACTGTACCTGCTCCTGTGCAAGTTCTTACCCCAAAGTTAAAGGAAGGTAGCTTCCCTCTCCATGACAGTGGGATAAACTACCTTGCATTGCTATTATTATTATTAAGATTTATAGCCCACCCTATCAGGAGGGCTCAGAATGGCTTCTGATGAATGACAACACCTTGGAGATAAGAAACAGCCATCTCTCCAAACGACACCTCAAAACTAGGAAATTTCCCCCACCCCACTTTGCTATGACCCTTAAGAGCAAACCTTCAGCCAAACCCAACTATGCTTTGCAATCCCATTCACATCAAACAGAGGTATAAAGTAACTTCTTCCCACCCTGTCTTACTCCTGTCCCATAGCCAGGGGGGATACCACCCCCCTGCTCCCTATACAGGGCAAAAGCATGCACGTATGTGATGAATGGGGAGCGCTGCCATGCTGTGACCTTACTTTGCAGGCGGAGCCATACCCCAAAAGCTAAAGGAAGGTGGTTCAAAAGGAATAATTTAACTACAAGGAATGCAAAGCAATCAACTGGCATTTCTAAACCTTGCTTCTTATTAGCACACCTGGACACCATAACAATGATCATAAAACAACTGAGGAATCAACATCTAAAAATCAAATGCTCGAAATTTGGTCTTCCAAGTTTCACACACTTTTGATGTGTAATGGAACCACTTCTCAATTAGGCGTACACAGCAATGACTGGAGCTCTACAAGATTAAGACTTTGTTAAACCTGAGGAAAACAACAATCTGGCAAGTCTGAGACAAGGAAATAACAGATAGAGACAGAAAAACACAAAGCCCATGTCTTAGCAGCATTACCAAGTTCTTAAAGACAGCATGAATAATATCTGAAGATACGAGGATACAGAACAAACAGGAGTGCTACATAAAGAGGGAACTTAGCTTTCACCTGCAACTGTTTGTGTGTACACATTATGAAAGAAATCTGAGGAAGTGATTCATCTATGCACAGGTTACTGCTGAAATGGTGATCAAGCATCAAAAAATATGATATAGTTGTATATGTACCTACTTACCTGCCAGCTATATGGAGACAATGGAGAGTTTGCTTCATCTGCTGAGACACTTAAAAACAAAAGCCCATATAAGTATGTATGATCTTGGTTTTATTAGCTGCTGTGTTATGACTTTTTACAAATGTTAACAGCAAGACTGCCAAAATATTTTACAGAGGTGTTAGCTGGGCAGTTTTGTGCTTTGGGTAGCAGCAGCAGCTGAGATGTTTGCACCCCATTCACTCCCCCCAACCCAGTTACATTCCTACTGTTTTACATGAATACAGAAGTTTTTCGTGCAAGGTTACAGTTGGGCACAGTGTTAAAAATATATAAATTCCCAGCAACGCTGTACTGATCTACTGTTCACCACAATTTAAAAATTGGTACTCCAAAAACGAATTCCATGATTTTTCTATTAGAATGTCACATTACATTTTTGCATCCAGATCTATTTCATCCTCTTCTACGTGTTTCCCATTCTCCAGCAGTTTATTTTCAACAGATTCAAACAGATCCTTAAAATACTTCCTATGAAATTTAGTCACTGCCTTTCTCCAAAAAGCAGAGGCACATTGTGTTTCAAGTTACCAACGAAGCAGTCTGTTCCAATTTTATATGGGCTGCCCTGTGTACAGTCAGTTTACGGTGCGTGTAGAACCTCTACACAATCAATAGGGAACAGAACGATATTAGAAGAGAGGGAAAGTAAACTGATAAATCTCAAAAATAAAACAGAGGACTCAAGGGCAATACCCCAAACTCCTTGTATTATTCATATCACAAAATAAATTTACAGTTGGTGTTTCTCTCTATTCTTTGAGAAAAATCTTCCTTAAAGGTCATATTTCAACGTTCTCATGGGCACAAAACTCATTTCTTCCATACTGCTTACCAGCAGCTTTCCTTGCTGACAATCTGGGGAACTAAGAAGGAAACTCCACCGCCAAAAGCAGATTCCCATTTGGAGCTGAAGAGCTTAGCTTGGCAGTTCTGAAACATGAGAGACCCCACGCTCTGTGGACTGGGGCCTGGCAGAGACCCCACACTCCCTGATGGCAGGAGTTACATCCACAGTAAACTATACCGTGGTGACAGCCAGGCAGGGACAAGCTGTGACTGCTGCTCCTATAAGAAGTTCTGTCACTCTCTGCTCCAAATTTTCACCCCCCTTGTTTGTTTTATACACCTGACATGCCTTAGGTCTTTCTCTATGCTCGGACACTGAGCACTCTGGGAATTAACTGCAAACCATGCCATTTTACTATTCACTCCCCTTTTCAGATGATTTGTATGTCGAACACTGTACAGATTGCTGGGCGGCCCTCACTGCTAATCTACATCCATGGCAAAAAAAGAGAAGTCTTACCCTCTGTTTCATATCTTTTAATTAGTTTTCAATCCAGGAAAGGTCTCTCACTGATCCTTTCCACTTGGAGGCACAGTGGTTGCCTTGCCCCACTGTACAGAGGGGGTACCTAAGTGCTATTTGCAAGGACTCTCCTTCAGCTGGCATTGCAAAGGTCAGATGTCAGCACCAGGTGGGTTGGAAGGATAACTGGTTTAGGGTCTCTGAAGGGACCAGTGGCTTAGAGGCTCGCTGGGTTCTGTCTTGCTGCAAGAAGATACTGGAGGAGGGTTGTGGCTGCCTTGCTCTTCACGCCTTCTTGCAGGTTTACGAGGAGGCAGGAGGTGCAGGCACCGTTGGGAAAATCCAGCCTCCTGAGCGTAAGCTGCAAGTGCATCTGCAGTAGCTTTAGAATTTGTCAACGGTGCAGATTTTATACAAAATGTAAGGCTGAAACACAGTTAGATGCACCTTCACATCAGGGTTTGAACTTTTTAACCATACTTTTCTAAAGGACCTCAACTTTCGCACTGGCTTATCTGAACACCTTCCGATTTTGCCTAAAAGTAAGTAGCCAACCCATGTAGGAGAGGGGGGTGTGTGTGTGTGTGCGTGCACGCACATACAGACACACACACACACACACACACACGCACTTGTGATTTCACTCATCAGTGACAGTGAGCCACAAGATGGCACTAGTAACCTTAAAAAAATTCAAAAACCCATTTTTATAAAATCTTGGTCGTGTTAGAGTGATGTTGTAGCCATAATGGCCCAGGAATCAAGTGAGGCAAGGAATTCTTAGGGTGATGTCTTTTATTGGACCAACTGCATTGTTGAGATAGAGTTAGACAAGCTTTCCAATGCAAGACATTCTTCTTCAGGTCTGAGGGATAAAAGAAGGATGTCTTGCATTGGAAAGCTTGTCTAACTCTCTCTCACCTGTACAGTTGGTCCAATAAAAGAGACCACCATAAGAAATCTTTTTTCTCATATAAAATCTTGGAAAGCTCACATATATGTTAGAGAAAAAAATACCAAAGTATACTTATAATGCCTAGTGTTACTTGATATGGGATCTCAATAACTTTTTAAACACAGATTGGTGGAATTACCCACTGAACTCTTAGCGTAAATTCAGGGAAGTTCATGGGAGCTGCAGATGTTCAGCACATTTGCAAAACAAGATCACTAGAATTTAATACTAAGGAGCTCAACATTGCAAAAGTAAAAGGAGCCAGTCAAGGAAATATGAAAGCGTTTAAAACTAAATAAAATACTTACAGGTGATACAAGGGTCAGACTGAAGTTCAGCTAGAAAACACACAATCTGCAACCCATTTTCTTTTTGAACCTTAGAGAATCACAGAAAAAAAATGGATAGAAGGGACCTTGAGAAGTCATTGAGTTCCTCCTGCTGCAGAAGCAGAATCAACTACACCCACGCCGTTTGTGATGGATGTTTGTCCAACCTGCTCTTAAACACCTCCCAGAATGAAGATTCCCATTCTCCATGTGAAATCTATCTGTAGACAGAACGAGGGGTGTATGTGCACGACACTTTAAAACAGGGTAAATGCTCTGGCACCACTTTAATGGTGTTGGTGTTTGCATGTGTCGGCGGCGCATCGTGCATAATTCCAGCCGCTGTAGCAAATTTGGCAGTGTAATGCACCTTAAATGACTTGAGGCGCAGCAAACTAAAACTCCTCTGAGGAGTTTTAGTATGCTGCCCTACAGCTGCAGAGTGAAGCACCGGGCTCTGTGCAGCTCAAGGGCTCTGCAGGAAGCCCATGCAGGCAGCCTGGCAGCAGCTTGGGAAGGCAGGCAGGCTCTGCCCAAGAAAAGCAGTGAGCCTGATCTTTTTTTTTCCTTGGAGCCTGCCAGCCTGCCTGAGCTGCGTGGGGGCCCGGTGCTTCCCTCTGCGGCTGTGGTGTCCCCAGGACTGCCAGAGCTGGGTGCCGCCGGGGTGAAGAGGGGGGGCTGCTTCTGAGGAGAGAAGCACCAGTTTAAAAACCCACCACTTAAATTTGGGGCCCCTGTTTAGTCTACACATGCCCTATTCTACTGCTTAATGGTTCTTACAGTTAGAAGTTTCCTCCTCTAAAGCATAACCTAAATGTTCCTTGGTGCAATTTAAGCCCATTTCTTTTTGTCCCATCTCCAGTGAACATGGAGAACAATTTATAAAGCTTCATCTGTGCAGGAATTAGACTAGATAACCCTGGAAGTTCCTTCCATCTTCACAATTCTGTTTCTTTGTAGTAACCTTTTATATATTTCAAGACTTCTCTCCCTTTCAGTCTTGTCTTTCTATACCCAACACACCCAATTCTCACGTCTTCTGGATCTCTGATTCTTTTTTTTTATTCCTCTCTTGTGACTCTCTCCAAATCATCCATATCCTTCCTGAAGGTTGCTATCTGAAACTGGGGCAGACACTGCTGAGGTCCTACCAGTGATGAACGTTTACTTCACGTGCATGTGTAGTACTTTGCCCTTGTTCCTACTGAATTTCATCCCATTTCAGATGACTCCTCTTGTCTAGCTCATTTTGAATTCTAATTCTGTCTTCTAACACACTTGCGACTCCTCCTAGCTTGATGTCATCTGTAAACTTAACAAGTGCGCTCTCTATTCCATCATGCAAGCCTTTTGATGAAAATACTGAATGGTAACAGATCCAAGAGAGACCCTTACAGAACCCCTCAAAATATTCTTCCAGTTTTAGTGTAAGCCACCAAATACTTTTTAACTACACTTTTCTGACCACTGTTGCACCCATACAATGAGAAATACAAACTAAGTCAAAAGTCTTAACACTATTAACTTTATTCACTTCTATGTGGAACACAAGACTAATCGCACAGTTTCACTTTACTTTGCTAGTACTGATACGCTCTGACAGTATTCAAAGCCCAACTATTTACTAACTTTGGGTGCTTGTCTTAAGAGTGCTGGGGAATGCTTTTCAGACCTGCAAGCAACAGACACTCCTCGATTATTAACATGGAGTTATCATACCTGGATCCTCTGGAAATCAATCTAGGCGTCTTAAATTGGTCACCCTAAGTAAGAGGAAAGGTTTGAAAATTCCTTGCCTGGTGTTAGCTTGCTCAGCTGTTCTGCACAGATGTCAGCTAACAGTGCAGGAAGAAATGGAACAAAGTCAGAAGAGTCAAAATTTAGGACACAGATTCTAGCATTTTTTTTTGGTATTTTCATCTCACAGATAGAGATGTTGGGCGAAGCTGTTACAGGAACATCGATAATCCCGGGGGGGAGTGTTAAGAACAGAGGGATCATCTGAGTCACTGAGTCCAGCCCCCTGATTTCACAGGCAATAATGCTGTATCACTGCTTCCGTAAACTAATCAAGCACCATATTAAAAGTAGTTACGAACATCCCCATTTCTCCTCATCTAGCTCAGGAAGTGGAGTTCAGGATCCTCTCACAAGACAGGCTCCATTCAGGTAGACCTTCTCTGAATCTGTTCCATGTGAATACACACAAATGTCCAAAATTTTACACAATATCCAGATGAGGTCTTAATATGGCTTTATATGACCCAAACACTTCCCAATCCTTTTGGAAACATTTCCCAATACATCTGAGGGCTGAACTGTTTCCCACAGCTGGTGCACATTGGCAGCTCATGCTCGCTCTGTGAACAACTAGTGCAAACAGGCCTTTCTCCTCCTTGGTCACTTCCAACTGC